TGAAGTATTTTCGCGGTGGTTTCGTGAATCACGCGATACTCACGCGAGTCTAACCACGAACGGTCCGATTCTCCTTCGTAGCCCGCTCTGCCTACGTAACGTCTCGTTCGCGCACGTACCGCAAATTATTCTTCCTCCATCGCGTGTCCTTTATTGCTGCTCGTTAACTATAACGTTCGCCGTCCACCGGCGCATTATGTTGCAATTCTTCCTGGATTCCCGACCGAAGGCGGTAAACGCGCTGCTCTAAGGGCGCGAGAATGAAATTCTCGAGAAGCCTGCCGAGTTTTTTTTCTCTCTTTTTATCTTTTCTTTTTTCGCAAACGGACACGGCGTTGGAAATTATTCCTGGATAAGTCCTCTCTCGGGGCCCAAGGATCCATTTGTTAAGAAATTCCGACCGAAAAGGCAGTAAAGACACCGGAGCTCCAACAACGGAAATTCACTCGAAAGGTCATAAGTTCTTTAGAATAGGTATTTCTTTTTTTCTCGCAAACGAACGTAAAATAAAAAAATACTAACTTTCAACGTAGAGAGTTAAGTTTCTTTAGAAATATTCCCAATTGTCTGTCGATATTTTTTGCATCCGAGTAAATTCAGTTCTGCCAAATCGATATTGGAAAACGAAAGAATTACAATAGAGCCGAGCTTTCGATTCTCCATAGATTCTCGAGTTTTCGCGGTAAGACTCTCGCTTTCGACGAGATCTTCACGGCTAAAGCCGAGATTTCAATTGGTAAAACGATGCGCGAAAGTCTTGCGGAGGTAACAGGATACGCCATTCTCTAAAATAAACTCGAGTAAGCTGCCAACTGCAAGGACGAACGCTACTCGCGGCAAATATTCCTGCCCGGATACTCTCTTTCTTTCTTTCGTTCTTTTTCTCCTCGCGGCTTTCGGTTCCACGCGAAGCGAGTATGGAATTCGACGAGATGCGGCCTCGAAACAACAGTTTTTCCAGCGAATTTCAAGAATGGCCATGCCTCGAATGAATACGCGAACGTCCGCTACGTGGATGGCATACCTTCTCTTCGCCTCAGAGATACTTTATTAAGTTAGACGGTTATGCCACAAAGATAATTTGTCAGCGTGAAAATACCATTCGTATGCAAATCGAAAAGTTTCGTTTCCTTATCACTTTGGAAATTGATCCACGTGATTCCAAACTTCGATATAATGCGGTGCGATTTTCAGAGATGTACGACAAGCTCGTGCTATATTGCAAACCAGTTTTCATATCAAGATAATAGGAAGAAAATATTAATTCGAAGATCCTTATTTTTCTTCTTTTTTTTTTCGGGGTTATTAAAATGTATTAGGATGAAAGACAATGAAGGAAATATTAATTCGAAGATCCTTATTCTTTTTCTTTTTTTTTCTTTGGAGGACGAATTGCGTATATCGCGCAAGAGTAGAGTTTGTTCACGATTGCATTGGATCGATCCAAGATTGCATTTGTTTCGAAAGGAAAAAAAAGCAGACGAACGGATGTCACCGTGCTTTTACGCATATCGAGCAGTGGGTATTGTCTCGAAGATCCTTTCAATATTCAAAACCACTATTCCACGATGGTATTATATCTAGCTTCTTTCTCGAAAAATGTCTCCCTTTGCGAAAAATGCGCGCGTAACCAGCTTTGCCGGATCGCGATTGCACTCGTTTTCCTTTCCCTCCGACCTTGAGCTCCCACCTTGCTACGGATTCTACGTTCTGGATAATCTTCCAGAAACTCTTCCTTTCGAAAACGAAGGAGAGAAGAGATCGAATCGAATGGAGAGTAAATAAAGTATCGACTCGTTAAAAGAGGCGACCGTTCGACTCCCGTAGAAATTTTACATACCCGATTGAATCCAAACTCGTCGATAAAACTCTTTTAATGCTAATGATGACAGAAACGACACGAGCAATCCAACGCGTATATTGCAAACGCGGCAATAAATATTCGTCGAAATTTTCACCGTTGCATCGTTTCGGAGAGGAGGGATATATTCCTCTCCAATATTCTTCTCATTCTTTCTACCGATGGGACACGGATAAAATAGAAACTGCCGTCGAATCGGGAAATTTC